GGAAGTAATTCCTGTAATTATACGTTTAGAAAAAAATAGCAAAATAACTCTGTTGATTTCCAGTTTGTTATTTCTCTCGTTTGATTTTTTGAGTGTGCGATCTTGATTGTATAGATTTCATCTAATTAGCTTACCTCTTCTTCCCTTCTCAGTCCTTTATCCCTTTCCCCATCGAACTACATGTCACATTATTCCTAAATCCTAACCATCTTACCATTTCAGTTATTATTCAGAGAACTCATAAAATGCTTATTATCCTCCCTCCTACCAAACTAACTCAGAGATTTAACTCAAATCCCAAGAATATTAAGTGTTACCTTTCATTTAGAATATCATGATCCTTACTATTTCCATCCCACCACAAATTGATATATATTTATACCTATATATAACCACCCACCTAAATCCTTGAAATAATTATAAAAATCCTATCCCTTCCCATCCTATCCCATCCAAAATAATCAATCAATCAATTTCTTCAATTTTATAAAATAATTTCATCTATCCAGATACTATACTATCAATCAATCTCATCTCATCTCACCACAACCCTCAAAACACCCCCATCTCGCTATCCCTTAGTTATACAAAACTACATATATCATCATCATCATCAACAACAATTCACATAAACTTTCCAGCACGCCCACTACTCATTCTAATTCCCCTCTACATATCATACACACACACACACACACCACACATATTATATCATGTCATGCCATGTGATCTAGCTTACCTACCTACCTATCTATCTCGTCTCATCTCTTCCACCCCTTTCATTCCTCTCTTCCTTTCCCCCTCCCTTTCCCTTTCCACCCATCTGTAATCAAGTAAGTCATTAATTGAGTTGATTTATTGATTGGAATGGAATGGAATGGGATAGAATAGAAAAAGAAAGGAGAAGAGAATAGACTTTCTCATCATAATGCAATACTTTTTCTTCGAGGGTACCAGCCAGATACGATACAATATTTCTTTCTTAAAGTTTATTTGAATCGATTTTCAAAAATATTAGAAATATTAGACTTAATAAAATATTGAGTTTAATATATATTTGAATACATTTGAGTGAGGCTAATATATTTGGAGGATATTTGAAAAAGTGATAAAAGGAAATAGAAATGAAGATTTTTCAAATACTTTGTTCAATAGTTCCCAAAAGCTACTATTGATTATTGTATAGGAAAAAATTCGAATATTTGTTTAAATATATAGATTCAATGTTTTTCATTAGATTTAATATTGTATTTGGTAAATGTAGATATTTGAACAAATATATATTGATTGAAATATCATATTCGATTCGATTATATTAGATCTAATATATTGGCCCAAATGTGAAAAAAAAAACGATCCGAACGCGCCCTTGGTTCATGGCTTATGAGAGGCTATGCTCAACATTTCATCATCAGCACTAGTCAAGTTGTCAGTCGTCAAATAGTCAAATAGTCAAATAGTCAAATAGTCAAATAGTCAAATAGTCAAATAGTCAAATAGTCAAATAGTCAAATAGTCAAATAGTCAGATAGTCAGATAGTCAAATAGTCAAACAATCCAAGAACGATATCTTCAAAATCTCATCCTTTACATTCATCCACTCATTCTCTACCACCAACATCTATTCATCTTCTTCATGTGTATATCCTTAGGTAAAATAGTGTATGTGCATAAAGTACAATGCAATACAATAATTCAAAGCCGATAACCCTCTCAAGCTTTCATATCCATCCTATCCATCTTCTTTCTCATCCAGTCCGACTCCTTTCTCATCTCACTACATGAACTTGATGAAAACTACACCCTAACACCATATCCATATTCGTTCAATCCACGTAAGAAGCATTAACATTAGTCCCCCAACTCCATTTCCTAATTTTCCCTTCCCTTCCCTCTTTTCAATCCTAAACCCCTCATCCCCCACAATCTAGAAACTCATCCACGCAAACATCCCCGTCATTCCCAAAAGCACAACTGTAGTAACAATTCCGGCGCCCACTCTATCCCCCGTATTTGGTGGTGAGACCGGATCCAAACTACTCGTACTACCACTTCCTGCCGCAGGATTTCCCACACTTGTTCCTCCCGTACTATTCGTAACCGGAGCTAAAGTTTGCTGAACCAAATTTGCAAATATCACACTCATGGCAGCCATTTGTTGTCCTACTCCAGAGGTTCCATCCCAATCAGTTCCTTTACTCCAACTTAATCCACATGTTCTACCATTGAATGGGCTTGGACCTGAACATTGTTGTGCAGCTGCAATTGCAGATGCCTTTAGATATGGCATAATCTTTTCATAAGTGTAAGGTACCATTTTTGTCGTTGCGGCTAACCAGCGGGTGAGATATGCTTTAAAGGAAAACATATCAGTTGTACATGAAAGCTTTGCTTCGCATGCGATTTCGTAGGCGATGTCACCAGTGGGAAAGAAGTTCCTAAAGGTAGCATTGAGAAGTCCATCAACACGTTCTCTCCAAATGTCTGAGCCATTCGTCTGTTGTATGTTAGTTTACATATCTAGGACAAAAAATTAGAGACGGCCGAGAAGAGAAAGAACATACATAATTGTACATGGTTGCTGCACCAAGTAAATAAACCCCCGAATTATAAGAGAATTGAACCTTATTAATATCCGTACAATTCTTTTCAATGTGAGCACCATCATAAATATTATATTCCTTATCCATGTATCCAACATTTGTGACCCAATTCCATGTTTCTTCAGCATACCGAGCGTATGTTTCGTTGTTTGTATATCTCGCGAGTCTCGCCCCAATATTGAAGAAACATCCATTTGCGATCGAGTTCTTATAATCGTATCCTGTAAGATATGGATACACTTGCCAACGTAAACTATCAATCATTAGTCTTGCACATTATCCAATCTCAAAAAAATAAGAACTTACCCTCCACCACAAGTAGCATTATCAATTCTCACAGCTTGAGTATTGAAAACCGCTTGAGCTAAAGCCAACCAACCAGGTCTCCCAGCAGGAGGATCCGGGAATTTCGATTCCGCTGCACTCATAGCTGTCATTCCCCAAAAACCTTGATCATCATTTCCCATAGACTGTGACCAATTCGCAGGCATCATATCATTATTTGCCCCAGTCTGCCATTGAATCCCCGCCATGGCATCATCATTATAAGATGAATCCCCAGTATAATACCAATAATCGATAAGAGACCCCCACATTGCACCAGATTCCCACCAATAGTCTAGACAACGAATTCTAATCAGTTCGAAATTCCTTCTTGATATCGCATGTGCTTCTGCGCAAGTCCGGAAAGAAAGGAAATATCCTAAACTTACAGCCCCAAGTAGGATTTGGTGGAGGTCCAGGTAAAACTCCAGGTATTCCTCCTGATTGATTTCCCTTATAATATGTCATCATATCGTATGCGATTGTAGCAGCCGCATTCTTTATTGAAGCTATATTGAAAAAAGAGAAGAGGAATTAGTAAATTGAAATCCATGGGCGAAAACCTGTCGATGCACACATACTATCATCATTTATATCTAATTGAATCTCAGCATTAACCGCCAAGGAACCGAATAGAACCGCTGTTGTAGCTGTCAAAGCGAAAGTGGAAAGCATCTTGTCGCAGGTTATGTATTTGTAGAAACTTTGTAATGTTTGTATGTACTGGAGAGCTGATGGTGAAGAGTTCTTGATCCTTAAGAGTTGAAGGATTCACCCAATCTTAGGATGTCTTAAAAAAACCAATCAGTCGAGAAACGAATGGACGTCAAATACTTCTATTTACAATTCTCGTTATGATGATAATACATCAATATAGAGAGTAAGTCATTTGAAGACTTTAGAAGTAAATGACAATAAAGTGAGACGAGAGGTACGAGAGAGTAAAGGAAGAGACGAGGAAGATGAAGAGGGAGAAGGAGAAGATTGGTTGTAAGTGAGAGAGTTTCAAAATCAAGGTCTATTTCACAAATCGGATGATAGATAGATTGTAAGGCTATTGGATAAATTGATTTGAGGATAAATAAAAAGAACAAGGTTCTTGTAGCGCTTTCACTTTCCATTTGCTGTTGAATGGATTTTTAACCTTCCTTATAAGCACAGCCTATCATCCAATTTCATATCACGAAAGTTTCAATACGATGTTGAAAAATGAGTATCTCTAAAATATTACATCACGAAATCATGTATTCATCCTATCAATGGAGGCATCAATGGGGGCAAGCCCCCAAACCCCAATAGCTCGCTGCGCTCGAAGATGTAGGATATAAGATATGAGATTACAACACATTGAAAATATCCTGCTTCCAGGGCAGTGGCTCCCAGAGGGCCAGCGGAGCGTCATTCATCTCATCCATTTTATCATGAAGATAATATGTATAATACCTAGGCGACATACAAAAAAGCTTTTCCAAGCCCATCCACAAACCTCAAGCTTTTTCCAATTGACTCAGCAAAAACCCCAAGCCTTAGCCAAGAAGCCCTGAAAAATTCTTGTGCATGCGCTATCATTTCTTTCGTATCGTCAGGGTCCAGCCCAATCCAGCTCAGCCCACATCAATAAGCTTATCTATATCTATCTATCTAAACATTTTTCAGCGGGTATGAATGATTATCATGGAATTATGGTACCTACATACAATATGATGAAGCTGTGGAGCCCGCGGGGTTAATAATACTCCATCCTATTTATTACTGCGTACGGAGTACAGAGTTATTCAATAAGTATGGTACATATTTCAATGACAATTGATTTCCACCGCATAGTCAGCCCACTGTAAAAAAGACATGTAGTTCATTAACCTAAGCTTCAAGTTAGAAGCTTGAAAGTTTGAAAGTAAACAAACAAAACTACTGTAAGGCTTAAGTAAGGACTTACACCCGTCCTGTCACAACTAACTACTAACTACTAACCATCCGTAAAACGCTAAACTCTTCCCCCTATCATCCAACCAACCAACCATCCATCGCTTGCACATTTAAAAGTACAGTAGTAAGATAACTACCACCGCAAAATCCTCCATTACCCCTCCAATCAATCAGGAAAATCAGTTACTATTTTATATATACTAATAATACCATAGCATACCTAGGTACCTACAATTGATACCTATCTAGGCAAGGCTTGTTACTATCTACAACAATCCATCATTTCATCAACCACACCCGCCCACCTAAAATCTCGACCCTTAACCCTCAAATTATTTCTCCAACCCAACCCACTGACCTATCCTAACCCAACCTAACCTAGGTACCTATCACTCTAAACGCTAACTCCTTCTCCTTCTCCCTCATCCACATCCACATCCACATCCCTCCAACACAAACCCCAACAGAAAAATCTCAACCCAAACCAAACCAATCCATCCCCTTCCTTCACCCTCACCCTCACCCTCCTCACCCTCAATCTCCACAACCAGCCCTACAACTAATTAACCTCCCTCCCCCTTCCCGCCCTCTCTCTTTCCTACCCCTTCCCTCAAGCCAAGCCAAGCCCATCTCAATGCACCTAGGTATAATATATATATATATATTCCACTTCCCTCTCCCCACTTCCCGCTTCCCGCTTCCCACCTCCCGCTTCCCGTCTGGAATGGAAAGAAATGGAAGGAAGATCTACATCTATACACGTTTCATCATTCCAGTTCGAATGTGGAGGACATGTTAGATTATGACATTTGATTCATTGTTGGAGTTATGGCATGGCTTTGTCTGACGTAGAATCTATCCCACGTGTCAAGAGCATGAATCTTTATTAATATAAAATTGATTAAATAAAGGAGTGATATAGAACTCCACATCTCTAAACCGAGAATCTTCATCCATCTAATGACCTTACATCCTAAAAGCTATCACAAACGGAAAAAGCACACAAGCACCATAATATTCCTCAAACCCTAAGTTCAATAATTTTCAATTCTTTGTTAAAAGGAGTGTCTCATAGTCTAATTTAAAAATAATCCACTCAATGTCATGTTTGTTTAATGTAAAAACTCCATCTATCGCGTCATTGTGGTATTAATCCACCACCAAAAAAAAAACATGTCGCAAGGTAAAAGCAAAAGCCAAACAACCATAATTCTCCCATTTTAATGCTACCCATTTAATGCAAACCACTCATTCTTCCCATAAACACAACTATTTCATTTACAAAGCAGCTGCAACGGCAAAGACGGCTCCAAGAGCTAGAGCAACAGATCCTGTAAGGGATGCTGCACCACCGGTGGATGAGGATGGAGAAGAAGAGGATCCCGATGATCCTGAGCTGGATCCGGATCCAGACGATCCCGAGGTGGAGGTTCCTGTAGCACTTGAGCCCGATGCAGATCTGAGAGTAGAAGCAGTGTAAGTACCATTACTCGATCCACCAGATGAAGAACCGGCTGAACCTGTTCCAGTTGGGGCAGCAGCACCAGAGACAGCAGAAGAAGAGATACCGGCTCCCATACCAGAAGGAGAGAGGCCACTGCCGGTGGAAGCGACGGATCCTCCAGTGGCGGCAGATGCGAGAGATGATGCAAGAGCGCTGGTAGGCTTGGAAGATGCAGATGCAGTAGATGAGCTGCTTGATGTGGTGTTGGAACAGCTGAGATCGAACAATGGAGTGGTGCTCAAAGTGCTACCAACGATACCGAAAGAGGGAGTGACGGAGCCAGCAGCATTTTGATCTTGAAGAGTGTACCAGTACATGTTGATCTTTCCAAAGTTAGGGCATCCAACATCATCCCAGTATGTCTTGGCGTTAGCAGCACTTGGAATACCATCACCAGCAGTAGCACCAGTGACCGGCCATCCAGTCTCAGTAACCCAAACGGTCTTTCCGGTAGCAGATTGTGTAGCGGCCAATGCGGCATTGAAGAGAGACTTTCCTTCACTGACTCCATTTGCCTCGCTATCTTGGAAGTATGGGTAACTGTGGATGATTTGTTAGTCATATCAAGAGCAATAAAGAGATAGGAAACCTACGCATCCATTCCAACCCAGTCAAGAGCCTCGGCAACAGCGTTGTTGGATCCGTTGACCCAAGCAGTCCAAGTATCAACATGTCCGATGGAAGCACCGCTCAAAGCAGTACCAGAAATTGCATCTCTGACTTGCTTGATGTAGTCGACAAGGTCGGCAGGGTTGGCACCATATCCAGCCTTGGCAGCGATACCAGTTGGGGAGTTTCTGTATAAATCCTCGGATCCTACAGAGATACCAACGACACGGCTTGTGAATGCGGAACCGTATTGTGTGATGGCTGTCTTGAGAGCGTTGACCTCAGCGGCAAATCCGGCAGCTCCACCCGATGCCCATAAACCAAGGAGAAGAGTTGTATCTGAGGCAATAGCGGCTGGGATAGCTGAAGTTGGACCAGTGGTAGAACCTTGCTGTACAAATTGTCAGTGTCGAGAAGGCCAAGAGAGACTCTGCAAACTTACGAGCATGGTGTATAATCTGGCACTGGTGAAACCCGAGGTACCAACCAAAGAGTTGGCAGCCTCGAAAGCAGCTTGGAAATCCGACTGAACTCTGTAAGAACCATCTGCGTTTGTTGCACCATAATTGAAACCTTGGTGAACAGCAGATGCAGTTGAAAGCGAAGCCACAATGGCGAAGAGAGTCTTTGAGAGCATGATGGTTATTATTGTATTGTTGTTTTTGTCGTTGATATGTTAATCAGCAAATGGATGATGCTTTGGTAAATTGATTGATGAATTCCACAATTAAGAGAGGATAAATCGAAAATTGATGGATTATGATGAGTGAGTGAATAGAAGAAGTCGAAAGTCGATGAGCTCAAGAAAAGATGGAATCGAGTCGATGGTCGTAGTATGATATTAAAAGAAGGAACGATTTTAGATAAATCTTGATAGAGGAGGAGCGACTTGAAATTATCTAGGTTGGTATAGAAAGATCAAAGTCTGGTGGTAGTGGCAAAAGAGTGTTGGGTGGCCTTGAAGAAAGAGGAAAGGGAAGGAAGAGAAGGTCTGGAATGGGAAGAAGAGAAAAGCTTCCAAGGCTCAATTACATAGGTATTATTTATTTATTGGGGGCGACTACCTGGTAAGGAAAAACTGGGGGGTTTTGAATTCTAGGATTGAGTAGCAGTAGCATTGATTGGATGGATCAACTAGGGTTAACTAGGGTTAACTAGGGTTAACTAGTAGGTGGGTAGGATATACTCCGTACTCCGTAGTAAGAAGAAACAAGGGGAACACTATGAGGTTCGAGGTTTCTACCACCTTACCACCTCATTACCATCTTAACCATGTTGGACACTCTGGATTCGACGAACCATAGAAGTCGACCGATGGCTTACCAGGATAGACAGCGCCACTTTTCTTCTTCGTTAGATCCACTCTCTCCTTCAATTCTCCAACCAAATTTCCCTCTCCAGGGTATTGACCCTTTCTTTACCTTTTCTTTGTCTCCTTCAAGTCGTGATGAATGGAAAAAGTAATCCAGAGTAAACACGATGCCAAGTAAAGAGATTATTCTGGGGATTTCTTGGAATTTCTGGGGCAAAAATGTATTACCTTGTACCAATATCAACCATCACTGAAAATAAAAAAGGGGAAACACGGTAGGAAATAATAATTTATGGGCCAACCAAAGATCATGATGGCTTTTGCATTTTGGGACCTGCATTAGTTTTTCTGGTCGCTTGCGTATGCATGATGCGTGTGATTGGATTGGGTACAGAGTCGAGACATTTTGATGCTGGCCATAATGGGCCCTGATGATCATGTTCGTGTTCTGGTGTTTGTCAATAAAGTGAGTGAGTGCATCGCCTTCGTACAATTCTGTCATTGCTTCATAATTTATCCAATCGTGTGTTTTATGTTACATCTCTACATATATACTAGGTAGGTAGGTAGGTGACTTATATTTATCTATATTCTCGTATACCGAGTACTCCGTAGAATATATCACAATGGGAGAATGACACCAGAGCGAAAACTACCTAGTATCATGAACAAACAAACGTCTGCATCAATAAGATCATTCGGTACCAGCCTTGACTCGCCGGGCTGAACCTTTTCATCTGTCCAAGATGCGATAACTTGTACCTAGCTAGTAGATACTAGATAGTAGCTACTAGGTACCTAGTAACTAGTATCACTCAAGCTTTTCTTGGTAGAAACGCAGGAACAATTTCTGATCATCCGAACGTTCAATCAAAAATCAATCAAAATCTATTGGAATCATCTAACCTTTTCTAGCACAAGACGCATTGATTTCTCCCCATTTGATTCATTATTCGTTCAATAGGTATTTTTCCATGATTCTATTTTTATTCCGATGATTTTCCTTCCGTTTGAACTTTTGAACGTCCTCATTTCGGTAAAGGAAGAAAAGAGCTAATGAATCGTTCTCGAACCTAGAAATGTCTTGTGTTAATCTTTGATTTGTCTAGGGCGGAAAAATCATTTTCATTTCAAAAGATGAGAGGATTCTAGAATTTTATAAGGAAAGTCGCTTTTACTATCATGTCAAATACAACGATATAAAGAGGCTATGAAACCTTCTCATTTCATCCTCCGTATTCCAATTTCCTATCCCAATCCAATTATCTATTATAAGAGTTCATTTCTTCACATTTAATAGTCTTGAAAAAGTTCAACGAATCAAGGCCGAGACCCCTTTTGAGTTGTTCATACGGTTTATATTCATCCATTCATTATTCCTCCATTATTCGTGGCCCAATGTTTAGCAGGTTCTAGCCCGGTATCTTCGTCAAGGAACGGCCTGGATGGCACCCCTGAAAGCTAATGCTCAGATGGATCAGAGAGTTATGAACAGCACAAAAAGTTTCAATACAGGTACGGACCACTTCTTACATGGATAAGTTGATTACGACGACATCAATAGTTTGATCAGTAATATCCAAACTATATTACGAGATGATTTATTTCAGGGTAATTCATGATCAAATTGTGGTTTTCTACCATAAGTGGAATCAGACTATTAGACTTCAATTGGATATCATGCTTCCTCGACGGAAATTTACTTGGGGATTCTCCGACCCCGGAGCCACTAGGAGCTGCCTGACACGGTAAAAGTCTTTAAAAGCCTTTTCCCGCAAAAATGGTCTTACACCTAAGAAGCTTTGATAGGTCTAACATCAGACCTTACGCACTCGTGAAGTCACCATTTCTTTCGTGAAAGGAAGCATATCCTATTGATTGACTGCAGCACACTCGAATCATTATCGGCGACTTTACCTAAGGTCATTGAAGCAGCCGTATACTGGAATACTTGACTGCAAATCACCTTAGCATTTATTTGCCTTTGAATTTGAGTATCGTTCAAGTATCATCGCTTCTCATGTGTTGATAGTGGCTGACTCACTCCATATTACCGCATGGCGGAATGTTACCCAACGTCAATGTACTGCATCTCTTGGCTGTTTTCTCTTCTTTTTTCTCTCTCTCTCTTTCAATCTGGTGGCTGCTGCTTTGACACTTGAGCCATTGTTTGGCTGAGAACCTCCCAAGATAAACTACATAGCGGTGGCGAAAGCTTCTGCTTATTACAAGCATTTCATCACGTTGGGACCTCAAATGTCGAGTCTTTTTATCTTCAAAACATCCATTTTTTAATATCCGCTCAATGACTTGAAGTTTAGACTTGAAGAGGCGCACAACAATTCTCAAAAGCTTCTGCTCATGGTATAAATGAATACATGTACACGTGACGCATACCTTCGAAAGTCATCGATTGAGTAAATCCTCTTAACAAGATATCTATCACATCCACGGCAATTCGTGTTCCTCGAGTTTCCCTTTCTCTGTTCAGCGCAACCTTATGCCTTCTCACTATATTCATTTGCCACAATATTGCACATAACACCGGAAGTCCCGGGAAAATACGATGTGCAACAAAACATCTATCACATCTTTGATTCAGTTGGTGTCTCTCTTTCTATTTAGTCCGATTTGTTTTCGAGGGGTCCGGAGATGAATAGGCAACAACTGGTCCTGGAGACAAAGAAATATTGAATTTTGCCACAATTTTTGAAATCTGCAAAGGGAAGTCTCGGGTGAGATATGAAACCGATTTTCGCTCTGCTAATGATTGATCTTGTCTTGCCATAATCTCAATCGATGGGGACTTTCGGAGGTGAGACGTGCAACAAAAGTCTTGATGACTGTGGCGACATGATGAACTGGATCGGACCGGGTAGGATGGGATGTATACATGTCTACTTCCGTTAAACGGCCAGAGGAGAATTCGGAGGTGAGATATATAAGAAATACTACTCTGGAGTATCGGGGTGAGACGTGCAACAAAGTCTTTCTCGTAGGCAGGGGATGGGATTAGATTGCATGTATACATGCATACTACCGTCAGAAAGCCAAAGAAAGTTTCAAGGATAAGATATATATAAGGAATACCCTCTTGAAACAATCCTGTATTCAATGCCGCGGGGAGTATTTGGTAAGATATACAACAAGTTCCCTACTAAAAAAATAAACAAATAAATATAAAATCTTACTACATCTTTTATTTCTTATAAACATTCTTAATAGAATAGATGAGATATGTAACAAAGCATCTTCTATTACTATAAATTATATCAAATTCGTTATAAAGTCGTCAATAAATTCAAATTCAAATTTTTAATATAAAAGAATGACCTGAAAGAAAGATAGACTTGTAATATAATATAATATCACAGTATAAAACATCTATAACAGTAATAGTAACAGTAACAATAACAGCAATAAAATACAAAAATTATAACTACAAATTTCCCCTCCCAATTACCTTTTCCCCCCTGGTGCCCTTCCCTTCCTTCACTCCATCTTCACTCCAATCTTATACTTTATGTCTTTTTCACCACGCCCTGAAAGACATCTTTATAAGATATTTATCTATTTATTTATTTTTATATCTCCCTCTCGAGACCATTCCTAATCCTCATCCACAGCCACATCCTCATCAATAAAAAAATTCTTTCATTCAATTTTAAACGCCATATTCATAGGCAGAAAAATAAAAGATAAAAATTACAATGAAGAATCCGAAATCTCATATCATTTCATCTCATCCCTCCGATACCTGCTATGCAGATCATACCAATCCATTACCCGTCCGCTGTCACAATTTTCCTCTATTTCCCTAATGCCTAACCCTTTGCATCCGATAGTCTGCTTAAAGTTACTCGCTTAATGCTTTCTCTTTTTCTTGGGCGCTTCTTCTTCATCCTCCAATCCACTTTCCATATCCTTTCTCTTAGCCTTCTTCTCCAATTCATCCCAATCTTCACCTTCACTTTCTCCCTCACTATCCTCTTCTCCTTCGTCATCACTTGCATTACTATCGAAATCGCTATCTTCTTCCGAGCTTTCTTCACTCGCAGCCATTTCGCTATCACTAATCTCAAATGCTGACTCCTCATCTTCTTCATCGCCGCCTTCATCATCAGATTCGGTTGCCAAGAAAGCCCATCCACCGTCGGCAAAGAATCCATGTGGATCTGCTGTTACCGTCTTCATAATGGTTGGCCAATTTAAGTTAAGAGGTCCTTCGGAAAATGGAATATTAACGGAATCTAACCATTCCTTAACATTTTCGATTGATTCCATAGGAATGGTATTGATATGGTAAGGAGCACGATGGAAATCCTTGAAGACAAATACCATATCAAAGTTCTTAAGTCCGAATTGAACACGTTCAAGATGAGCGATTTCAATATCCTCAAGAGTGATGACCATGAAAGGTGGTTCGGTGAGTTGAACCAAACAGTCTGTCGAGGGTTGACAGAAAACGCTTGATCTAAATGGCACACCATTGAAACCTAGTTCACGGAAAGGTACGTCAACATCGACGTTCTCATTCTTACCAGCGTCGGCAATCTTTTCCGCAAATGCTTTAAATTGACGATCGAGGTCAGCGCGACGTCTTCGTTCTTCTTGTTCTGCTTCAAATTCTTCCTCATCACCATATCTATACTTTCGCTTCCGGTTTCCAGTCTCATCAAACTGAATGTCAGTAGCTTCGCGATAGAATTGAACATCCTTGGTCTTTTTCTTGCCAATCAAAATTGGATCCTTAAGATGTACATGAATGATAACTATCAATTCATGATCACAAGGTTGGAAGAAAAGATGTTTGACATTACTGAAGAGGATGTCGACTCGGTGTTGAAGATTTAGGGGGGATTGATATCGAAGGCCATTTTGATGAATTTCGACCTTTCCTGGTACACGTTTACCATCCATAGCTGGACGAATGAAGACATTATCCATAACAATTGGTCGGCGATCTGTATGTGTTAGTAATGAAATAAAACAGGTGCGATGTTGCAAACTTACTTCGGATCTCAACCAGTTTGTCCTGTTCAACAACATCTTCCATATCCTTTTTCTCTTGTTCACGCTTAACAGCATCTTTCTTCATGTTACCAATTTGATTGGCAATTTCTTGAAATCTATCTCCATCATGAGATCTGAATGTCAAACTTCTAACAAAGTGCGCTGAAGCATCCTCGAAAGGTTGATCATCCTTTCTCCCAACACCTTGACCAGGAGACAAGAAGTTGATTCGAAGGTATGAGAATTCACCTTCGTCACTCTTGCTTGCATTCTTGATAGTTTGAATGTGGAACGGTACCGGGCGGCCCATAATAGGCAAGACAATTGTTGAGTTCTTCGCGTCCATGACAATGGCGAGATCCCGGATCTTGGGAGGGAATTGATTCTCGCGCTTGTAAGATTCAAATCTCTTGAATTTCTTAACGGCGACACCGTTTTGGTCACCAGTAGCTTCAGCGAACCTTGCAAGACCCTCTAAATGTTTCCTCCTCGCGAGCTCTTTTTGATGCTCACGGCGTCTGGCTTCAGCACCCTCATCAACCTGAGTTGTCCGCTCAGCCCGTAGTTTTGTCTTGGTGATGTTTTTGGTTGCAACAGCCCCAACGCTCGAATCCTTCTTTGCCTTGCTGACTTTAGGCTCTGGTGCAGGCTCATCTTCTTCATCCTTGAAAAAGAATGAGGTCGCATCGAGTTCCGAGGGTGCATCGCCAGTAAAAATAACTGGTTCCGCTTGAGTCACACGAACAGTATCCGATAATACTAAAGAGTAAATTTTGCTCTTCTTATCTTGAGGATCCTTGTTCTCAATGTCATTGAATCCAGTAGTGACGCAGAGGGTCATTCCGTCCTTCAGGATACGATTGCTCTTGGCATTAAGAAGTAGGGTGGGGTCTCGCGTTTCGATACCAATACCAGCTCCAACATTCTTTGAGAAATGCTTCTCCAACTCAGGCTTCTTCGTTCTGATGAGAGCTAAAGCCTTGGCGTAAATATCCTTGACATGGGCACCATCGCGAATTTCCTTCATGACAAGATTGTGAACCTGTAATAGAAACTTGTAGTTGCTCTCCTGGGATCTATTTGGGTCGACAAGATAAGTTCGGCCAATCAAGGAACAGTAAGTCTTGTATCGGAGACCCATAGAACAAATGATCACACCAGCATGTAACAACTCATCATCGACCTGGGCACTCATCTTCAAGTCGTACTTTCCACCACTCTGAATGATAGGGCCATGTGTCCAGTCCAATTGTGAGGAATCGAAGTCGCTGGGCATTTTTTGTTTGTTAGGAAGTTCGACGGAAGTCCAAAATCTGGCGTCGTCCAACTTGCCATCCACTTTATTGGCCAAGGCGCTGTGCTTGACCTTTTTCTCCTCATCTAGAATACCTGACATTTCCTCGACGAAATATGGGTTCATCAGTGCAGTACATGCTTTTGATGAATTTCGCATAGCGCGCTGCAGAAATGTATCAGCATCAACCAGTTCTTCAACCTCAGTATAGTGCCTTACCAGTTCATTCTCATCTTTCACTGCCAAAGCTGCAGAAGATAAAGCCGGCGCAATATCTACTTCTTCCACATCCTTTAGCTCGGAATAGGCTTTTTTCCACTCATCGATAAAAGGCCCATTGGATGTATCTTTTGGTAAAATTCCAACTTTTTTCTGTAAATAAATATTTGTTAGACTACTCCCATTGAGGAGAATAGCAATATTCATAACTCACCCCCGATGACTTGATGACATCTGTAATCTTTGTGAAGAGCTTCTCGTTGGCTGCCGCATCTTTGCCTCTGACCAAGACTTCGAGTGGGATCTTTCCACCTTTCAGAGGTTCCAAATGTTTCGCTATACCAATATTAGCTTCCAAGCTCTGGCGCATATGATTTAACTATCCACCAACCTTTCTTTGCCGTCGTCACAATGTATAGAGTATCAACTGTGAAAAGGAATAGCGTTGCTGGAAACTCGTAGCCTAATAACCAAAACTATTTCTTCATCAGCATTCAAACCCCCGCCCATTGTACTTCCTTGCAAAGTCACTCGTAGTTAATGCAAACTTACATGAATCGCATTATTCTTCTGAAAGCTTGCCACATCCTCAGTCTTGCCCATCAACACCAAGATACTATTTGCGCCATTGAAAACCGCGTCGCCTCCTCTCTTATCAGCTTTCCAAGCCGATATAAAATGCGATAATCGTTCCTGAAATAAATTCTTATCGATTCTAATATCCACCATGATGATTTTGAATATCTATTGATGGGAGAGAATTGAGGTGGGATTTTGTTGAAGAAGAAGCAAAAGGATATCAAAGAGGACGACGCGGTGGTTCAAAAACTCGCGTTGATTGAAATTGATAAATTGCACTTTGGGTCTTTGTGAGTTGATAGAATTAGCGTCTAACTGAGCTTCGATAACGGATTCAAACACCAACTTCCTTTTTCAGCCTTGTAATCTTGTAACAAGGCTGCAGTGAAACAAGGCAGAATGCAAGACCAAGCCGCCTTCCATTCAGCCTTACAGCGATGATAATCTGAGCTGTCTTATTGCCACCTCCATTTTAGTCGAATTAAGTTCGGCGTAGTGTAATATATGTTTTTTTCATCGATGAACCTTAGCTTCCTACCATTCAATTCACTATTCGAGTTTTATGAGAGCATATATGCGTACATTATTGAGTACAATTAGGCATTACAAGTCCTATATATCAATAATCTATGTACAAGAAAATTTATTACCACGTCTATTGTACGAACCGCCCAGTCTTGGAATCTACTGTATTGAGGATCCCAACCATCCTTCTGGACAGAAGAGTCCGAAGTCATCCGTTTTGACAAATATGGTATATAACCATTCAAAAGACACCCTTTGGCTATGTTAGCTTTAAGCAACTAAAATTGGGGATGTATGAAAATAAGATTGCACTTACTGGAATGAACAAATATGGGACTAATCTTTCGTATTCCTCCCAAGCTTCTCCATATCTCTCTCTGCATTTCTGAATGTCTCTGTAGGCGCGATGAGAGATCATACCGGCGAAGAAGGCACAGTAGAACCAAGGGAATGGACTATTGAAGCCAGTAATAAGACCCCAGCAGAAAGCGAAGTAGAAATCACAAGTATAATGGATTTTGCGAGCCTTTCCGTACCAACCATCCGCCAAAATTGAATCACCAGTTTTGGTTTTGATGACGCGGGGGTTCATGACCTCCTTCCATGGCAATTGAGGGAATGCCTTGCGGTCTGTGACAGTACCACGCTCACGAGATCTAAACATATTCTTTTGGCTGTTGGTAGTATCCCAGACCCAGTACACGAAGAGGTATGACGTATACAAAAAGTAGAGGAAGTACTTGTTCCAGGAGTATTCAGATGGTGGGTGATTGGCTAAGTAAATGGTGCAGTGACAGTAGCTGAGAGGAACACCAGCGAGGTTCCAGAAGATCAACATGAAGCCCCATTTTTCGTAGTACATATCCCTAATAGAGTAAGTAGACTGCTTTGAAACAAGCAATGGGATAGACAAACCAGGTTGTAATAATCAATTCCTCCCCTTTAGCGCACGCATTTGCATACAAAAAGTGTGCCATGATCAGGAATCCAACTTCACCTGATACATAGCCATATTGCTCATATTGTCGTGCAGCAGCGGCACATGAAAGACCCAAAAGGATAAACCAAGGTAGACGAACTTCAAAGAACATTTTAAAATCCAAGATACCGAACATTCTTGGATTCAATTCGGCTCCCATGAAGAAGTCATAAATTGGATACCCTGTCATTCGATGTTGAGCTCCACGTGCCAAAGCCGACACATACGCAACAGTTGAAACCAAAAATCCAGAGCAAATTGCCACGGACATGATAGGCCCGAACTCGTCAAGAAGAGTATAGATCTTGAATATGTCGAAGTAATGCAAAACGCCAGCAGTGATAAAGGTAAAATAAAAAGACCAGATTCCGGAACAATAGTATGGCAATTGCTTGCCTCCCTCATGGGGTAGTGGTTTTCCATAACCCCAGACTCCTGGCATGAGACAATACATGATAGCTTCAAAGACGAAGAAAACCCAGTAGATTTTCCACGCACGAAGGCTTGGAAATGCCCCCGTATAAACAAGATGACCCATATGTTTGACAAAATCGAGGAACTCCTGACCTGGTTCCGGCGTGGGAAATTTTCCATTGTAGTATGTTGCTCCAATCCACATATACCACATGAGGCAAGGAAAGCCAATCATCATAGCACTAACGCCAAAAGAACCACCAAAATCGAAATGACCCGAGGTATCGATCTTGGGATCTTGCGAGACCTCTGACTTGCCATTGACTACCTTTTGTTCGATCGCATTCTCGACTTTTGCGCTGCCCTTCTTCAATGACCCATTCGTGTTAGAGTCATTGACCGCAGAAGTATAGCCATTGGTTATCGAACCATTGCTGGAGTGGTCGTTGGCTGTTGCTGCTTCGACCATGTTCACTTTCCGACTCGAGGATCTCACCCTTGACGGTGGATTATCTGTTGTGGATGAAGAGTCGTCTGCGTCTTCGGGAAACTGCGACTTTCGTTGACGACGGATTCTTGGAGTCTCGACGAAGCCAGCACGTTCCGTCTTTCTGTGCAGATTGTTAGAATTGGGATCTCAACAAGAAAAGTGAAGAGGGGAGATAATAAATACTTACTTGGGCGTCTGCCGCAAAGAATATCTCTCGCGGCCTTCGGACATTTTGTACCCCAACAAGGTAATCTCGGAACGGAAGCAAGATATCTGGACGAGTATGAGGCAGAGGCAGTAAATTCACTAAGATTACAAGATTCAAATGAGGCACTTGTAAGAAGGGTGCTATAACAGAAGATCCGAGGACATAATTTCATACACGCACAAAAACAAAGTGTCAACAATATTGTAATAACGAATGAAAGTCAAGAGGATCCATTTACAATGGGAAATATTTAAAATTAAGTTTTGTTTACTAAACGTACTAGCGTACTAGATAGTTACTAGTCTAGTACTGGTGTCCTTCGTCCGTACAGGAACACGGTCGAGCCACTCGGAACCTAGAAGCCACACATCGCTTAGAGACTTGATCTCCATTTATCCCCTCCCTCCCCTCGTAATTGTAACCACCTGGTAGTAATCATAACTACTAAGAAAAAGGATTCTAGGAAAAGATGGAGTCCTGATTGCCAGAAGGCTTTACGTGCCATGAGAGGTCAAGGATTACAATGTATGTATCTTAAATATTACAAATATGATATATCAATTAGGTGTTGTCTAGATCGTGACAACGAATACTTGCGGGGCCATCAACCTCAACCAACTCATCGACTACAACACACAGGGAAGACTTCTCAATTGTGTACCATCTCTTAGGCACTGTATAATTTTTATTCATCGCTAATCTTCTGATCGTTATAAGTGGTTAAGAACAACCATTGTTGCATTCACCTCATGCAACGTCATTGACTCTTAATACAGTACATTTTCGAATTATGTGACTTTTTTATTCATCGCTAATTTTTGATTGATGATGTGGGTAGCCGGCTGTGAGTAACCACTGTCAAAACATCAAACTTCCTTGCAAACATATACTCTTTTGCGCGCCAATTCCATCCCAACATGCGCCCGCCGCTCATGCCATAGACGTGATGCCAAAATCGGAGGTTATCCGAAGAAGTGCTGTACAAGAAAGTCGCAATGCATCTCATGGTAACTGTGTAGGTAGTATAAGACTAGGCAAACCACCCATCCGAAATCCTGTTGCTGAATAGCGACATAAGGATATCTGACTTTCGAACGGGTATCGCACCTTCAGCACCAATCATCTCTTTTCTCGTCAATTCATCTCATCTCCTCATAACATCCATCACCTTGATAGTATTCCCGCCCGGTCATCCCATTCAACGTCCCGTCCGGTGTTCTTCAACCACCATTGCTGTACCTTTCATTTTCACGTCTATCCTGCCTGCCAACCCCATCATTATATCAACGAAACCCTCATATTTTCTGATAGAACAAAAGATATGCGACTTTATTATCCATGACTGAGAATTTACCAGCCCCATGTCCATTGGCTGATTTGGGCTTTGGCGTAGAAGCGCCATTAACAACACTAGACCATTTCTTTCCGGATCCACTGGCCTGCTTCCATCCATCCTCTTCGGCCTCTCCGTTTTCTTCCCCAATCGAGGAGAAGATGTTTCCAGAAGACGAACTATCCTTTTTATGTGCCTCCAAAGCAGCAGCCAACACTTTAGGGTCTTCCTCACTACCTCCTTCAGCCACATCTTCGCTTCTTACACGTTTAATAACAGTGTCGTCAAGTCTGATCCACTCTTTCCCATCTTGCCTTCTAACATCCACAGTATAGTGTCCACCGCTGGCATTCTTACCATGATGATACACGACGCCGATGAGACGATACTTCGGATAACCATCATGAGCGAAGACACCTCGTTTAGTTTTGGGAAAGACTTCCTTTGGTAATTCGAGTTCCAAAGGATATCCGACCTTCTTCCAAATCTTCTGCGTTCCGCCAGTGTTGTCATACTGGAAACGCTTCAAGTGTAAGATGAGAACAGGAGGTACTGTCTCAATGAATACCTGCTTTGTCGCGGTCACATTGGGACCCTTTGGAGACTTGAAATCGCCATGAAGGACCTCGGAATGTGTTAAACCTTTCAATGCATCAATGATATTGTGAATGTTTGGTGAACCAATATCAAGTTGTAGTGGTTGATATGGCTCAAGAGTGATGGAATCTTTCAAGCCTGGCACACGCAATTCAGATCTTAAGCTGCCACCAAAAATCTTAGTGACTGGAGAGCCAGTCAGGATGGTCCCGGAAGACCTTGTGATCGCAGCCTTTTGTTTAGGTCCAACCTGCTGCCAGACATCATCAATAGATCCGCGTCGACTGGCAGAGTCGCTTGTTGGGGATGAAGGTGCATTCATGGGTGTTGTGGCAGCCGGAGTTTTGCTCGAGTCACTTGACTTCATGACATGTACACATTCATCATGAAGGCCTTCAAGTAAGAAGCCTAGAAATTCCTCCGCATCTTGTTGATGTCCTCTCTATGACATATATAAGTAAACGAAAACTTGAATGATCTCTAAATGAACTAACCTGCATCGTCACGAATCTTGGTAAGCGTCGCATGACATCGTATACAAAGTCCGGTGTAAAAGAGTCTCCATATTGCTCAAGTTCTCCTTCCTTTAATCTCATTTTGAGTTGCTCAACAGATTTTGCAGAATCAATTACTGGAAACTCTCGCATAAACATAATCCTTGAGCGGTATTAGTAACATCCATACGAGTATACATAGAGAGAACTCACATGGCATCAATCAAAGGAGTTTCACTCTTGAAGCTATGCGCTGCTTTCTTGCTAACTTGGTCAAGAAAGTCATAGAAAGGGGTACAGAAAACAAGAACTTGTAAAACTGAGTTCATGTAGCACATATTACCAGTGTTAACTAAACCTCGAGGCTCAAGAAATGCTATTTTAGAGTCTTTAGCTTCAGCATTGAACGAGCGCAATGCTTCAGCCAATGATTCCGTATTCTTCTTGCCAAATCCGGGTGATCCATTTTGCCCACCATTGGCAGTGGTAGGTGCTGTAGGTGCACCGGATGAACCAAAGAGACCAGTCCAAGCTCTTGGAGTAGCCCATGCTTTAGGAGGAGGGGGTGTTGTCTTAACCTCTTCATTAGCAGGCTCTTTCGCTTCATCCGCATTTGTGGGTTCGGATGTACCCGGGGTCACCTCGGCAGGAAGTTCTCCGCTGGGCTTTTGAGGGGTCGTCGATGGCGTATTTTTAGGCTGAGACTTTGGGATGACACGTACGACGGGGACAGCAGGTACGGCAGCTCGCTGGGATTTCGTGGCTACAGGAGTCGCCTGCCCACCGGTAGGGAGAGACGAAGGTTGTGTAGATGATGGTGTAGATGATATTGTAGATTCATTGTCTTCGGATGGACCTTGAGTAGTGGTAGGTGTTTCGGGTGCAAGCCCTGAAGCTTCTTCAACCGCCGGTGTTGGTTCTATACGTGTTTCCAACCTTTCTAAATCCTTCTCCGGCTCAGAAACAACATCTTTGTCTAAGTCTGGAAGCTCGACAGGATTCGTAGATATTTCAGGACTCTGCTTTCTTTTCCGACGCCGTCTGGCTGGCCAGGGTGCAGCAGTATTAGGAGTAGCCCAAGGCAACTAGTTAATGTCAGCAATTATAAATGTATTTCTCGAAGTGTAGCATACTGGTGGCTGGAAAGGCATATAGTGGTTAGGGGCTGGAGGTGGAGATTGAGGTAATGCTTGTGGAGTAGGAGGTGTCATAGGTCCAGGAAGAGTATTGGATGACTGCGTTGAGTAGGTTGAAGGAGTCTGAGGGGGGACTGGCGCAGAGGCTGGTTGATAAGACGACGCGATCACTGGTGGATGAGATGCGGCAATAGCAGGAGATGGTTGGGGTCGAGTAAAAGGTGGTGCTTGGGGTTGAAGTGGAGGTGGAGGAGGATGAACATAATGCGGCATCATTGGAGGAGGCGAACGACCATAATGTTGATAAGGATTGTACTGTTGGGTGATAGCTGGATTATGATATTGTGGAGGAAATGGTTGTGGGTAATAGTTCGCGTTGTACGGGTGCATGTATCCATTGTACAAAGGTGCCGCCGGCGGATATGGCTGAGCCTGATGACTATAAGGTCTTCTCCTTCCCATATCTTGTTGCATGCCTTGCCCTGCCGGCAGATGACGACCGTTCATCATGCCGGCTTGCTGAAGCTTATTATTTCCAAACCTACCTTGTCAGGCTGGCCTGGATTGGAAGGGACTTGTCGCGCTGAGTCGATGTTGGGTTTTCGTGATATGGAGGAACTTTTTGGAGTAAATTTCGAAATATCAGCGCATTAATAAGAACAGATAGATGTATGTCTAAGAAGCGCGCGATAACCGTAACTTCCACGATATTTCTGTATAAAGCTGTTCATATAACTGTTTATAAAATAAATATTGTGTTGTTGGGGTTGATTTTTAGAGTGGGCAGGTAGAGATGGGTTAGCAATTCTTGTTGCTCCAGAATTAAAAGAAGATGACTGAGCCGAACGTTAAAGCCTTGCCAAGACTTTTTCGCCCCCAAAATTCAGAGGAGCTTTGACATGAAATGGAAGTCAAGTTGAAAGTCAATCGAGGAGTCAATCAAGTGAAGTGAAGTGAAGTATGAGTAGGTAAATAGATAGGAATTTTTATGTATAATATGTTTATTTACCGTATTTAATTTCTGTATAATTTGACTAGCGTATTCTCTCTAAATACATACCTATGAGAATTGAAAATCAAAATCATACACCTGAGAATTAATTGATGTTATAAATTACCTACCTACTTTTCCACTTCTTCAAGATACAAAATTGCGTCTTTGTCTCTAAAGTTAGCCCGGTTATAAGATGATCATATCAATGCCGGTAATCAATCATGTCATATAGGCAGTACGATTAGCTCTATGTGACTCTTTCTCTACCATAATAAGACTTTTATAATCAACAGCGTCCTTTGCGGCGTCTGAAAACCACTCTAAAACAACAAAAACAACAACTATAAGTCCAATTTTTATTTATACTTAGGTCATCTTCAGTCTTCGTTCTCTCTCATATATAGCATCTTCCAATTACTCGGCTTCGTATTCCGTACTTCTAAGATAGGTACAGCCAGGCACCTCCGCACATTTTCCCTCGTCGGATTTGTCAATCGGATGATTGAAGGCTTTCAAGAAGGATAACACTTTTCAAAGTCCCATTTCAAAGTACTAATTCAAGTTCGACAGTAAAAGTCACCATTCGGTTTGACAATCAAAGAAGTCGTTAGACTTGTTTTTTAAGTCGGGTTTTCCGCCGGATCGCGCAGCATATCAAAGCTATCAAAGCAATCGTCTTATCAGAAAAAGACATCGACTAAACCTCCCATCAATCCGGCTTTGAAAAGTACTACAACAACTTCGTCAGCCATCAATCTCCATTAAAATAACTATTTTAAGTCCTATGCCCTACTACTTAACTCATCATCTCAATCCGATTTGAACTATGAACCCAGTTCCACAAAGCGCGTCATCGCCCGGCGGAAAGTCTCTCAATACTGCATCATCACATACTCCCATTCAACAACAGCAGAGTCAGACTACACCTCCAACTTTTGACTCAAACACAAGACGTTTTGCTAGTCACTCAACTGGGATACCCGCGGCTGCCAGAAATAATCAAAGTCAACGGAAGCAACATAGAAATTCCAAGAAACCGAGGCTCGCGGATGAGGATGCTATGGCGGAATCCGTAAGTTTTCATCATTTCGCATTTCCAATCTACAAGCACATTACACACAATCAGGCATCCGCATTCCATAAGCAGGTTACAATCAACAGTAGTACTAATGTTCCTAGGCGGCCATGAGAAATGCAAATAGTCGAAGAGGGCAAACCTCAATCACACATCTTATGAGCTTCGCTCTCCCACCTAGGCCACAAGACTATCGCAGTACTATCACAAGAGGAACAAGGCGTGGAAATATATATGGAATCGGATCTGGTCATCATTCAAGTGACAAGGCGAGATATATTCACGCAAATTATCGATTTATAGTCAGGCCACATGGGGATTACAAGCAACAAGCCCTATTTGCGGACCAGCATTTGGACTGGAGCGATGTTCTACAAATCCTCGCATCGGCAGAATCACAAGACGCATCATGTCCAATCTGCCTCTCCCATCCTGTGGCCCCCCGAATGGCAAAATGTGGACATATATTCTGTCTACCATGTCTCATCCGTTATATGCACTCCACCGACGATACGAACCCTATCCCGGAGAAAAAAGCTCGATGGAAGGCATGTCCAATTTGCTGGGATACTATCTATAGTTCAGAAACTAGACCCGTTAGATGGTATATTGGACAAGAAGGGCCGGCCCCTCGTGAAGGAGAGGACGTTGTATTACGATTAGTTATGCGACAACCCGGAAGCACTTTGGCACTCCCAAGAGATGGTGCGGATGTGCTCGATAAGTCGGAAGATATTCCATGGTATTTCGCTGCCGAAGTTATGGATTATGCTCGAATCATGAAAGGAAGTGAAGAATATATGTTGGAACAATTTGATTCAGAAATTGAAGCATTGAAGCAACAAGAGAATGAGGATGAATTGATGTTTGGAGAGGAACCGGAGTGGACTCGAAAAGCTGTCAATTCCGTGCTCGATGCGAAGGAAAAAATCAAAGGTATCGGCGGACCACCGCCTCCACCAAGCCAGCCCATGGAGAAGAAACCCAAGAGGCAACCCATACAATTCAATGTCGTTGATGACAACACACCGGAGATGTACTTCGTCCAGCATGCTGCAAAATCAGGCCTAGATGTTTATGCTTCAACGCTATCTCCATCAGCTGTCCCTTCCCAATTGGATCCGACGGTGACCCCCACGCCACCAACTCCGTCTAATATCACTCCAACCTCAAATCCTTCACATTCACGCTCAAAGAATGTCCATCAAAATGAGGGACACTCACCGGATGCCCCGTACTTTTTCTACCAATCTCTCCTTCATTATTACCTCGCGCCCCTTGATATTAGGATTCTGAAATCCGCTTTCGGCAATTTTGCCTCGTTTCCTTCAACATTACTTCCTCGCGTTGAACGAGTCTCCACTCATGTAATGGATGATGAATTAAGAAAAAGAACAAAATATCTGGCGCACTTACCATTTGGCTGCGAAGTAGGTTTTTTGGAATGCAATTGGACTGATGTTGTTCAACCGGAAATTTTGAATCAGTTCAAAGAGGATATTGAGCGACGAAGGAAACGTAACAGGGACAAGGAGATTCGAGAAGAGAAGGACAGGCAGCGTGCTGAGAAGGCAGAGGATAATGCACGCTGGGCCCATGCTAGACAAAGGCAACCCGAGACATCCCCGGGAAGCTATTCTGATACAGATTATGCCCAACTTGCCTCGACGTCTATTGACCCGATCAATGCATCGCCTCCTTGGACCTCACGTCAAGGTTCTTCTTTCGGAGCACTCGCTTCACCGTCTACGAGTCCGCCTGCGCCAAGAACTGTTTGGGGTACAACTTTGGTAACACCATCTTCGCCCGATCTTCGTCCTAGACATGATAACAATGCGGATGATGGTTGGCTGGCAACTTGGGAACAAGAACTTCAAGCAGAAAATGATGCATTGATCGCTCAAGTGCAAGCGGTGTCCTTGAACGGAGAAAGTAGTTCAAGTGCTACTCCTCAACCTCAAGGAAAGAAGAAAAAGGGAAAGAAAATTACATTAATGAGTACCACAGCTAGAAGAGCTGCATGATTATCCGCGAAGAATTGAAACCGGAGCGTGTATCTTTCGAGGGATTCGGCGTTCATGGTGATATCACTACAGAAGCAAAATGCAATATATTCATTTTCAATGTTCACCAACATGATTTAATGCAAGTCTGGTCGCATCCTCCATATGTCGGACGAAACGAAAAGGGTTCTAGAAGTAAGTTTTATTCCTTTTAGTGTTATAAGTGGCGTTGATGGGGGTGTAACGGTTTTCTGGCTCGACGCCAAACACATCGTAAGACAATGATCGGCACTCCCTCCCGTATACTTTAGCCGTTGCTGTTACATTTTGGCTATCTCTGTTACTATCAACCTTGCCTTAGCGAGCCATACGAGCTGAGCTATTTACGTTCAAATCTCTATTTCCGAAAACAAGCAGCTAGGGAGGGGTCCTAGGAAATTTTTAGTAAGTGTTTGCATCGCTTAACAGTCATCCCACATTCTCATGGTTACCCAACGATACGATGTCTTTTCGCAAACTATCCATCTTTCAATATTGACTTCGGCGGTTTTATATGACCGAGTGGTTTGCCATACATTAAAATATCAATTGATCAACAATTCCCTATGTAATGCAATGCACGGCCCGTACCGCGATAGGAAACTTCCTGCAGCTAAAGTCTAGGCGCAGATGATTGTATCAATCAGCAAATTGAATGATCCTATCAACTATTTTTGTCACCAACTACTATTATGTTAAGGAAGATATATGATATGTTTGAGCAACATGTGAAATCTAGCCCTCCTTATCACCCGTTAAGTTTTCATCACCCTATTGTACTATCTATCTTACGCATCATTTTCGCAAGCAACGTTACGAAATTCTTCTTAACATTTTTCAATCCGAGAAATTTCTTCATATATGGCGGGACATCTCGGGATACCACTATCTATGCCTCTTCAAAGCTTACGGAACGGAGACACAATAACTCCGGACGTTTTCCGAACGTTTTATGATGTAACATTGAAGTCTGTCGGTGTGAGACTCCAGTAGAATGGATTCGCTTAAGTCAGTAATCAGCCACCGCTATGGAACTCGCATTTTTTACTATGTATAGGTAGGCTATGCTTTAGAACATTTTAGGTCTCCCCATCCAGCTACTAGGACTCTGCATACAATATATTGAGTAGGATCGAGATGCACTTACGTTTCATTTACAGTTCCCAGTATTATGCATATGCAGGTCCGTCAATATCGTCCGAATAACCTATCGGAGAGTGTCGGCTGAGATAATCAAGCATGGGAAGACTTTTTCAAGCTGTCAGATACCTGGTCAAATACGAGATATTTTTCTAGGGACAAATGAGCGCAGCTACGCGGAACCGAGTCCATGGGCTGAAGACAATCATCAGCATGGAATGTTCATCAGCAGAAATACTCGATGTGATTTGACAAACCTCTCCTGTGTTCATTTGCTCACGTTTCTCAAAACTCATTACTAGACTGGAATCTTCCATCTACGCCGCATCAGTATGCGAGCTGGAACTTGACGTCAGCATCTAGAGGTTTGGTCTTTGAGTAGAACACGTCATTCTACTCATATTTCCTCTTGATTTCAAATAATTGAAAGCCAAAAAGAAAAAGATCATGTAATTGATTCGGTCATTGCCAGTGCAAGTCAACCTTGTTTCCGGAATCCGCCTTTTCTGTTTTTGTATTGTTGAGAAAGAACGTCAATGATACGAGGCTCTCATGCTTTACAACGCGAGTTTCAATCGGGCCGTGCTTTCAACTGTCAGGTTATCGTATAGCATGAGAAGGCACGACTTGCATGTACATGCATCTCACTGTGCTGCATGTAGGTGGCGTCTACTATGCGTATAATACAAGGCTAGGACTATGTATATCATGTTGCGTTGTGTTACTTGCATGGGAGTGGGTCGAAAGTCAAGCTTGATTCAACGTTGCTTGATGTTATGGTGGTGTGGTAATGGTGCTGAGGGGCAAAAGTGAGATGGAGTGAGGTAAGATAGAGATAGCTATATATATGAGTGTTCTTTCTGTGCTTTGAGCTTTTCCTCATCATCTTCATCATACAATTACAACTTACAATCATTTGCAACTGCAACTACTACACAACTCGAACTCAAACATTGATCATTGATCACTACCATCTAAACAACCAACAAATCTTCACTTCAATCTTAAACCCAATCAAAATGCTCTTCACAGTACGTCCCCTTCCCATCCATCTCCATCCCCAAAACCCCTACTAACAACCCACCCAGACACTCCTCCCCCTCACCCTCCTCACCAGCATCCTCGCCTCCCCCGTCCCAACGACCGAAACCACCCCCTCCCCCACCACCACCTGCTCCACCCTCACCACAAAACAAGACTACTACCAAGGCTACCAATCCCCCAGCCAATGCGGCATCAACGTCGCCAGCGGCAACATCACCTCTGGCACCTGCGTCACCATCACCACTCAAGGCATCATGCTCTTCCCCGCAGACACTAAATGTACGTATAGTCTCTGGAAGGGTGTGACGGATTGCAGTGGTCAGGTTACGGAGACATTTGATTTGGGGGTGAAGACGGAGGGCGTGGAGAGTCAGGGGGTTTGTGTGGGGACGGGCGTTATGGATGGTGGGAAGTGGTATCATGGGAGTGGGTTTTTGAGTTGTGGATGTTGATTTTTTTTGTGGGTTTGTTTGTTGGATGGGTATAGAATTGATTGGTTCGCAATGGGATGGAATGAATGGAATAGGAGGGCGCTATTGATGAAAAAGAAGGAAAAGATTGGATTTCTTTTTTTGACTTGATCAAGGACTTTTTTATATTGGCGATTTCGCGAATTCTGGGATGGGATGGAATGGGTATTAATGATGACGACACGACATGGCTATGATATGATATGATGGATAACTCACTCACTCACTCGAGTATATTGAACTCCTGGATGGATGAATGGAAGGATGAATGAATATTCGGAAGGAAGGAAGGATTTCCTATTCTCTTTATTACTCGGTGGCAGGATCAAAATCAAAAATCAAAAATCAAAATCAAAAATTGATAGATAAAAATTTAAAGCGTATTTTGGGAATTCCTATCTTATCTCGTCTTATCTTGTCTTATCTTGTCTTGTCTTATTATCACAAACAACTCATTCATTAATAAAAGTTTCTTATAGTCTTATTATTATTACTATTTGAATATTTAGATATATTTTTTGAGGGGAGGGTATTTCTCTAATATAAGATTAGTACAGTACAATCTTAAGATCTTAATCTTACATTTTGATATTTTGATAAAAGTTCCTTTCCTTCCTTTTCTTTCCTTCCTTACTAGCTAGCTAGCTTTTATAAATGAGCGTGCAGGCAGGCGTTTGTGAATTACGATTTGTGATTTCAGACTTATTTTCCTGGGTGTTTTTCTATAAGTTTTTTTTTGGAGGGGTTTGGTTTGTTTTGTTTGCTTGTAAGACTTAATTAATATATTTTGTTGAAACTGAGTTGTTTGGAAGTAGTAGTATTATTAGATGTAGGTTAAACTAAGGATCTAAGTTACAGTAATGGTAGAATTGAAGATATTCCCAATTATGGTCCGTGCACCATAATGGTCATATGACCTCAATTCTAGGCCCATAATGACCTTAATTTCAACATATTTCCTATATATTTCTTCATCTCAAATAAATTAAAATCACACACACACATATATATATAATCCCCCCTAAAATCTTATAAATATAAATACAAATACAAATAAATGCCCTAAAGATAATCCCATCCAATAAGAATAATTATGTACAATCTTCCAATTCCTGCCTTTCTTTCTACCCATCCACCGCCCTTCTCTCTTCGCTTATTCACCCTATATACTATACATCACATCACATTTCATACAATACAATAGAATACTAGTATAAATCATAAAAAGTATAAAAATAAAATTAAGAAAGCAAACATGGGGTATCTATCGTGAGATTATATACCTAATCCTGTAGGTTTGATGTAAGTAAGTAAGTGTAAGTAAAGTGTAATCTAGAGTGTCTAATGTGACCTAATCTAATGTGCTGTGCTGTGCAATGATGTATTTTAACATCCATCCAACATGATATCTAATTTTCCTCTTCTCTCTTCTCTTTACTCTTCTCTTCTTCTTTCTCGTCTTTCTTTTCTATCTCATCTCATATTCTATATGGCCAATACCATGCCCATGGCTCAAAAAAGTAACAAACGGCAAACCAATTAATCTGCCAAATAATCCTCTCGATCCACATCCACATCTACATCCTCACTTTCCGGACTTCCACTCCCATCATCTCTTCCTCCACCATTCCCATTTCCACCTCTACCACCACTACTAAAATACCCCTGATCAATCTTCCAAATCCACTCCACCTTTTCCCTTTCATTCCTTGCCCTAAATAACCATGTATTATTTGTCCCATAAACTGCAAAAACTGTCTCCTCAATTTCCCTACCCCTGTCCCCATTCGCATTACCATTAACCCTTCCACCATATCCCATCATACTATTCGTACTTCCACTCCTCGTTCTCCCTCCATAAATACCTCCTATACCATTACTCCAACTAGCCTGCTGAGCTGTTCCCGGACTACTAGTCCTACTAGAATTTTGGCTTGTATTTCGAAGTAGTTTGGCGATTTCAGGACTGTGATCTATACGAGCATTTCGAAGTCCAACGACATTTATTTCTTCGCCGCTATTGGGACCATTCACTGCGTGGATATGAAGGTATGGACGTCGAAGTTCAACGAATCTTCGTATCCATTTTGTGCTATCGGCTGAAGGGACTAATAGATATCCACCCTTAATTAGAGTAGGATTTTTCTTGATTTGAGATACAGTGGCGAGATGTTGGGGTATAAGAGGATTAGGATGGGCGTGGGGAGCAGAAGATGTTTGACGAGATCTAGATGTTCGACGAGATCGAGAGTTTTGACGTGAATTGGCAGTCGAAGGGTGAAGTGAATTGAGAAATTTAATGGTCGAGGAGAGACTGAGCGGGATGTATTGGATATGAAAGAGGATGTGTGTAAGAGAGACGGGGCTGGAGAACCATTTATAGGTGGTTCGACATTAGTGGGTGTAAGGATGGTGGTTGATGGGTCGCGACACAGATGGAATAATTTAATAAATTTTTGGAGAAGAGCGATTTGGTGAGGATTGTATTCGGATCGAGTTTGGGGTTGTTGTTCTTTGCTTTCATCGTGAGGAATGGAATCCACGTCTATTGAGACTTCAACATTTTCTATGATCTCATCTTTGCATAGAACGTCTCCGTTTGTGGGTGCAATATCTCCGTTCATGGGTGACGTGAAAGCCTCATCTATTGACAGTGGAAATTCTCCATCTGTAGCCGGAGGACTTGCTGGAAGTGGTATTTCAGCTGGGTCTCGGTCGGTAACCGGTGGGATTGATGGAGCCGATATTGGTTTTGGCAATGGTAGCGATGCAATGCGATTCAGTAATGGCTGCGCTGCGTCCAACTCTGCCAATCTTTGCTTCCTTCTTCTTGCTGCGATAAAATCTTTAACCAAGCTAACACCTCTAGGTGTCCAATTCGTAAGAGCTTCTTCACCCTTTACATAATCTTCCGATGTATTCATCCTCCACAAATCACCGGCTCTTTTCACGGCTATTGGACGAACTGTTATAGAGTAAATACCAGTCATAGAATGAACGATTCGAACGCTTTGAAATAATGATGCAAACATCGATGTAGAGCGGACATAATTACGTGCCATTATTTGAGAGCAAACGTCCATGTTGAAAGTCATTGGACGGGATAGTTTGCCAGACCTTACATCCCATGCAAGGGACATTTGAACTTTGTATTTATCTGCTGTGACTCGATCAAGGAGCAAAGACTCATGGGCACTAGAATCCCATTTTCCAACAATGGTAACATTGCTAGTGCCGTTTGCATTAGCTTTGACAATGGGTTTGGAAAGTAATCTAAGATGAAGAGGCGGAGTAGAAGAAGAGCTGAGGTCTGGACTTTTCCCAATATGATCAACGAGTTGAATTCTTCCGACACGTAAACCAGTGACGTCTGACCAAGGTAAAGCATCACCTGAATTATGTGTCAAATTGACAACAATCCTACGTTGTAAACCTTGATGAAGTTGGAAGGTTCCTTGGTCAAGCTCGCTCGTTTGGATCACTTCAACAGGAGGATAATCACCATTTTCTGCTAGTTCCAGTATTTGAACTTTGACAAATACATCATGCTTTTCTTCAGAATAGAATTGTGACTCCGCTATACGAGCGCCTTTACGCTTCTTTTTAAGCTGTGGGACATTATCTCGCATATCATCCCAACTCAAAAGTTTGTCCAGATGCATTGATGAAACTTTGGCAAAGATAGCCACACGGAGAGAAACATCTGTGGGGCCAAACATCGGAACACTCATACTATGAACACTTTCGAATCGAATTGGACCTTCATCAAAATCCTTAATCATCTGAGTTGTTGTAACACCACTTTCATTGGAAGCGGGAGGTATGAACAATTGACCATGAACTTCTGTTCCTTCCCGCTCAGCAAATCCGATCATTTCATGCATAACAACATTGAATTTCAAGGTATTTGAAGGAGCTCTTGCTGAAGATGGCTCTAATGACAGCTTGATGATACCAATGGCGTGCATTGTAAATGGCGAGAGAACATCAAGGGTAAAATCCTGAACTCGACTCTCAAAAACTGCTGAGAGGGGGACCTCTACATCTCCGACATGTGTGTACTGTGGCATACAAGTTTCCATGAATGGATTATCGAGTCGAAAGTGTTGAAGATATTCTGGTCGATCAAGGTACTGATGCATTTGTCGCATCACACGAACTCGATCCTGAAGTTTATCCAGACTCCATAGATGAACCACACTATTCCTGTAATCTATAACCCGAACGCCGATGCAAGGCTTGGTTGCGTCTTCAAGTTGAAAATCATCTCCCTCTATATCATTAAGAACCATATCATAAGATGAGCATAAAGCGTGCCCTATGTCAACAACAGTAAACTGGAAAACAACATTCTCATCCATTTCGTGACTCATTATTTGTGCTTCTTTCAGAATTGCTGCATTTTGAAAAACAGCCTCGGCCATTCGAACGTACCTTCGTCCTTGCCAATGTTTTGCAACTTTCTCCGCAACCGCAATTTCTCTCTCTGATAGTGGAGGGGGTCCGTCTGGGCCGGACTTGATTGGAGTTAACTCTTGCAATTTCTCCTCATATTCTTTTCGCTGAATCTCCAATTGTTTGAGCATCTCCTCTTTCACTTCCTTCAACGTTCTTCCATCCTGACCTTTTCCTTC